ACTTTCTACATAATTGCGAGATACTTCAGACAGACGCACTTGAAAGAAGTACCGAGGTGTGCCCATAAAATGCTTGATATAACACTGAAATTTCACATACGAATTTTTAATACTTTTATAAGTTCTTTTTTCAATTAGAGCGCACTGAAGTCCTTTTAAATTAGTTCACTAAATGTTTGCTTACATATTTTTAAGGATATGTTTTTTTACGGCTCTGGGTTTTTTAGTTCGTTGTATTTTGTTTTTGGGATCTTTGAAAATTGAAACTGTGAACTGACGTCGACGACACTCAGCGTACGACTAATGCTGGGTACGTAAAGCCCAAACGTAACTTTCGATTGCGCCAAAAGCGAGCGACGGCGACGCCGACGTCAACGTCGCCGTCGCCGTCTGCTTCAACTTGAACGTAGACGTTGCAAGCAAACCAGCGGCTGAATGGCATGGAAATGGGAATCGAAATTGGAATTATATTCGGAACATAAGGCAGTAGTCGTTGGGCTGCTCTGAATTGCTCCAAGTGCGAACTTAAACTTGACTCTCCAAGCGATTTTGTTTAATGAGCTTAAATCGAATTAAACGCAATGAAACTGGAGCTGCGACGTTGCGACATGTGCGCGAGCATATGAAAGCGATGCGACAATTCAATGTCAAGCGACAGGCGGAGAGTCGGCTCCACAGATTCATTTATGTTTCAGCCAAGCGATCAGCGCTTGCGTCTCAACATTACTCATACGAGATGCGGCCCGGGATGACGTCGGGTGTAACAAGAGTTTTCGATTTCCAGCCAACTGATAAGAGCAACAAGTATTCAGACAGTACACGAATTGTATGTTAGCTGTTTGTTTCGCTGTTTGATTCAATACTCAATTATTCGTACCTGCCCGAACCCCTGTTCCGGGTTCTTTGCTAATTTCCCTTCAACTACATTGCTAAGCAGCTGATTCACTTGGCCAACTTAGTCAACTTGGTTAGCTGCTGTTGTAATGCAAATTTTCGATAGAGGCCAGCGAGGGAGGCCAGACGATGGGGCGTATTCAAAGCGATTTATATTAAGTTCTGATTCGGAGTTGGTTTCTATTTTAAGTTGGATATACTGACTGATATATGAATGAGCTTTACGACAACATTTTACATTCCAAGACTTTTTAATTCAATTACAAGTTAGGAACAGGCTGAAGTAGTCCTATACCATAGAGTGTATACATAGATGTATGAAATCGTATGATGGTTCAACAGCCAAGTTGTTTTAGCTTTGACCTTCTGCATATCTGTTTATTCGCCCGTCCGTACGTACCCACGTCCGTCCATTCCTCTTTCCTTCCTTCCGTCCGTTTATTGGTCCGGCTCTTCTGCCACCTGACTATCTGCTCGTCCGTCCTTCTGTCTGTCCATCCATCCGTCCATTCATCCGTCGAACTATCCTTTCGTCTGTGCGTGTGTCCATCCGTCCGTCTATTTATCCCTCCGTCCGTCCATCCACCCATTATCCACTATATCATTCCGTCGTCCGTCTGTCTGCCTGTCTGTAGGTCCGTCCAATTGTTCTTCATACTGTCTGTTTGCCCTTCCATCCATCCACCAGTTCTTCCGTCCGATCGTCCGTCCATCCATCCGTCCGTTTTTGTGCTTCAATATATTGATCTTAAAGATGTGAACTTTGATAAATCAGAAAAATACTAAAAAATAGTTTTTCAAAACCTTTTAAATGATCAACAAATCAAACAATAATCATCTTCCATATTCTCACATTTAGATTAGTTTAGTATTTTACGTGTTTCCCAGTCAAAGTCAAAACAAGTTGGGCTTTCCTGGCAAGACAATTGGAAAACAGTTTTGTTTATATTTTACTTCAAGTCGCATTAGCAATAATATATCATAGATATAATGAGCTGTTGTTGCTGAAGTACGGGTCTGGGCACATGTGGCGTCTGTCCCTTGGTCCCGTGGTGCCGGGCACACTTATAGATAAACATCAAATGTTTACGGTTCCATTCGCTTGAACAATATTTTCTTTATTGCAAAGCAGCCAAAAGCAGAGGCAAACACAAAAGCAAAACAAGAAAAACTAATCCAAAGGCAAAAACAGAAGCAAAAGCAGATGTCAATTAAATATTACATTCATTGCACTCTCTGATAGCTGTTTATTTATTTAGAATATTAGATAAGCATATGTAGTATATATAATATGTATTATATAAGCATATCTACAGTATATATGTGGGCACGACTCGCTCACACGATTGACAGCGATTCTATTCAGGATGTTAAGTAATAGTTAGCTTATCCAGATGTCAATTAACATCTGTCATTTAGCTACTGCGCTCATCTCGGTTCCTGATAGAACAGAAACACAAATACGAAACAGTAATAATAATTATTTTGAATGCTGTGTGAAAAGCTATTGAAACTGTGTTATTATTTTTCTTGTTGTTCGAAAATCTAACTGTTACTTGATGTAATATAATTTGTTGTTTTCTATAATTCAGCTCGATCAGAGGCGGTTCTATATATATATATATATAGATATCGAAAACAAACAACATTCCTATATATACGAACAGGTATAAATAGATCTATGACGTTGTCTATCAACGAAATTGTAGTCGACTGCCTAATACTCGTTCAAGAGCAAAAAACTACGTTTAAAGTCTTTAAGACTAAACTTTTTGATAGCCAACATAATCAATTATTGTTAAAGTTCCTATTAGTTCTAATGAAAACATGGTATGAAATTTTCCTAAGTGAAATGATATATACCTCTGATTATAAAGAAACACAGACAGATCCGAGGAATCGAGCTTGCTAACTCTGTTGTTTCATTATAAATGAGCGAGTATAGAAATTCTTTATACTCAGCATGGGAAATAGTTGAGAAAGTCGAGTTAGCCCGATTGTAATCCTAATGCGTAATACGCTCTATGGGCAAATCAAGCAGAGCTAGGGAAATTGTTTTTTGGAAAATCACCCCTGCCACTTCAGAGAACGCATATATGTATGAATACATACACAAATATACCTACATATAAATATATTGTATATCTCTATATGTACATATGTATATCAAGCATGCCAAATACAAACCTTTGAATTGCGTTGTTTATGGGAATATATTTAAATACAGTTGATTATTGTCTTTTGGTTATATCAAATGCCGTTTTTTATAACTTAATAGATGTTTATATCATGCAGGGGACAGGAATTCGTCACATTGTCTAAGCGAGTCGCACTTGTAAGTTTAATTGAACAAAATCTCTTCAATTATTGTTTGCATGCGCAAAGTATTTCTCTGTTTCTAATTTATCTTTATCTCATTTATTTGAATAATAAAGCAGGAATTCACAAAATCTTTTTAAAATATGTATATGTTTCTTCTGAATACAGTATATAAAAACACATCGATTTCTGTCGGCATTTAAACACTCTCCGCCTCAACGGCATCAGCCTTAATGAGCGCACAGAAGTGTTCGTACTAAATATTTGTTTTTATTTTTGCTGCTCTTTTTTTTTTTTGTATTTGTTTGTTGTTTTAATTTAGATTTGCTTTCTCGAAAGAAATGAGCGACTATATCGCATATATATATGTACATTTCTAAGTATATAGTACACAAAGCTTGTATGAGACGCCACTCGGGAAAAGAAAAATAAAATGGTACAATGAATGTTTTAAGCTATTTATTTATATATATTATTATTTAATAAATCAGATTGTTTATTTTTATTTTTTTTTTTTTTTTCATTAAGCATTACATTTGCTTGAAAATTTATTTTGCATATATTTACATGATTTATTTTCGTTTGATTTATTTTTGTATTATTTCATTCAATGAAATCTTCATTGGCCGTTAAGTGTTATCGTCCATAGCGATAGCTGCCCATGATGGGCGTTCATTAATTGAAATTCAAATTAATCGATAAATGAGCTTCACTTCCGCATTGCTTCCAGCTAAAGCCGTGGCGCATGCGTTACAGCTGCACGTGCAAGAATCGTGACAGAATTGGCAATTCGTCAAATGCCATCACTAGATAACTGTGCAAGTCCACCAAACTGTGTAACTAAGAAAGCGTGCACATGCTAAGCTGTGTGAGTGTGTGTGTGTGTGTGTGTGTGCGTGAGTATGCAACAACTGTTACAACATTCTGACGCATCACAGATGCTTCGTTAGGCTACAGTTAGCTGACGTTGACGTCAACGGGCATCTATTGTGACGCCAGCGCAGTAGCAGCAGCCAGCAGCAGTTGCATCGGCGGCAATAATAATTGATTTTGATAACAGCCAAGTTAATTTTACCGTCAAACAGCTTACCGCTGCCCACAGCCCACACCCCTCACACCGCACGTCCAGCGGCAGTCAAGCCGCTAAACATTTGCCCACTCCCACTAAATACAAATTGCCGTTGCGGCTGATAAATTACACTAATCGCTGTGCTACGACGCGACGCCAGCGGCGACGACACATCGATATGTATGTACATACATATGTATGTATGTGCAGCTCTATATGTACTTATGTGTGTGTAGCTGTATTTGTTTTTGCATTGTTTGCGTGTCTCGATAAATCTTCACTTTCGGCGTCTCTCCGTCTCTCCCTTTCTATCGCACGCCAAGCACGACTTGAAAGCTCGCTAAACAGGAAAGGAACACAAAGTGCCGTAAGTGCCGTTATTGAAATTCGACCGATTCTATGCATGTGCGCAAACACACAGAGCGAGAGACATTTTAAATTGATTTGTTTGCGACTGCAGAAGTTGATAAGTTGCTACTTGGCCTCGACTGTAATTTTCCAAACAACTTTTGCCAAATACGTTGTATTTGAATAATATAACGTATGCAATGCATACTAAGCATATACATACAAACAAATACACTGCCAGCGAAATGTTATCGCACGCACTGACTGTCGATATCGCTTTCAATTTTATTCTGGTAAATTATCAGAGAACACTGTCTTTGCCGCCCCTCCCGCAAAACAACTCTTTGGCAAACTCCAAAAAGTATGCTATTTTTTATATGATAAGCTTTGCAGCTTAATTAAATAAATTCATAATGCAGCTGTAATCAATTTGAAACCAAAGTAGTTCAGAAGGTAAATATCAGGGGGCCTTTATAAATATCTCCAACTGGCATGAAGTAACGTCAAGTTGTTGGGCGTTCTTGATGAAATTTTGATGGGTTGTCGGGCCGTGTCCTTTTCTCATCATCTCAGCCGTTGTCCAAATAGTGTCAGCATAAAAATTCCACCTCGAATCCGGAATCCGATACCTGAGCGTTGAACATAACGAAGTAAACTGTACGCCAACTGGTCCCAACTACAGCGAATCGATGCTACCCTTTTTGTTCCTATTCATTCCGAAGTATTCCCACCAAGAGGTTGGCCTTGATGTGCTTGCTGCCTCAGGAGGTGCAGCAGCCGACTCTGGGGCTACTTGACTAACGCTTGCATTGGCTGCCGTGGCCTTGGATGCCTCACGCTTCAGGCCGACCGCGGATCGCGATCGCTGGGCTGCAGTATTGGCCACGGGCTTCACTCGCGACACAGATTCCTTATTCCCGGTGCCGATATTGGTGGTCGTCGTCGTCTGGATGGTCGCGCTCGATTGCTGCGGTGTTGGTGCCATGCTCTCTCTTCCATGGCTCCGCCGACGTCTATCGCCGCCGAACAATTTACCCAGGTACGGCATGCACATGACTTTGACTGATGGGCGTTGGCAAAACAGAAATTTAGATTTTCGTGAAAGGTCGAAATGTTAATTTAGTTCGATCTGTTTATCGTCTGGATTATGTGATGGAATCTGAATACGTTTTCATCTGACAGCTTAGGCTGCTGATTGCTAGCGCAGCGCTTACTGCGACAGGCAAGCCGGGGGGGAGTGAGACAGAGGGAGAGAGATAGAGATAGAGAGGTGGACACAAATACATATGAGAAGGGAAAAGTATAGATAAGCTAAGGAACTGAATGAAAGAAAAACTTAAAAGATATGGAACCTGGGCGGAAAGGGAGAGGGAGAAGGTGATACAGACGAACAGACAGAGAGAGAGAGAGAGAGAGAGAGAGAGAGACAGACAGACTCAGGGACTAAGAAAAGGATACAAAGCGAGAGAGAAGTTACAAATTATAAAGATACAGAAGAATAGAGTTAAATGATTGATATATGTATGTATGTATGTGCACATAGAGAAGGAACGAGAAAAATGGTAGTAAGAGAAAATTTATAAATAGAAAATTGAGTAAACACAAATAAATAGAGAAATTTCGAGCATGTGAAGACAGACCTGAACCACTGTGCAGCTGTTGCCGCAGCCATCGCTGGGGGGCAGGCAGCGCTATTTATAGACGTGTTGCATACGCAGCGTCTGTGCATCTGTGCTGCAGCAGACACAATGCGTTTGTTAGTATCTTACGAATCGGCGTCCAGCATCGATGGCTTCACTTGGCGTACGGCGCATGAATCAGCCGCTGGGCATCCGGGTCTGCTGCTGTCGCATTTGTACCTGCATCAACTTTGGCTTTGTGCTCTCGCCGGGCGGCCTGCTCAAGCTGATGCAGCTCGGCCTGGCCACGCTGTGCGAGGGTCTGCTGATACGCTACGGCGTGCCATATGCCGATTCCATTGGCCAGGCGCTGACCAGCTTCCTGGCCACAACGGGCCACTGCTTCACCACCACGGGCATATTGCTGCTCTGCTATTGTTTCTCGGACAAGTCGTACGGCCTCATACGCCAGTCGCTCTTTGTGAGTAGCCAGATTTGTTGTATACCTATACTATATACTATAGTCTAAGACTTTGGCATTGGCAGGAAACACTGTTCCATGGCCTGGCCAGCTGCATGTACTTCAGCTCGGCCAGCTACATGGGCTTCGCCTGCGTTGTCTGGCTGCATCCGCAATTTCTAGTGCGTCCCGGCTTCTGGGCATATCCGGCCATGACTGCCGCCTACGTAAGTATTGGCCATAGCTTAATTTTAATGTGTGTATGTATGTATGTATATACTCCTAATTGTATTCTTCTATGCAGTACATGGGCTATGCAGCGGGTCTCCTACATGCTATCGACGCCTATCTCTCCTTCAAGCACTTTCGCAGGGTTAGCTAAGAGCGATGGGCTTTAAGGTATGCTAGAATTTTCTTTTATACATCCGACATGAACTTAAAAAAACAGTTAAATGCTCCTTTAACTGTTACATCAACTATATATATACTTACGTATATGTTTTATATTCGACTTTGACTATCTCTCTCTCTCTCTCTCTTCCTTTCTTTCTTTCTCTCATTATCTTCGTTTTGCAAATTTTGTAAACGTTTTTTGATGTCAATTCGATTTTGAATTTTCTATTATAATACATAAATCCTAATTTTAAAATTCATAATTAATTTCAATCGTAATTAACTAAATTTTTTCTCTCCCCTTTCTCTTTTCAACACTAAACAGTTTATCCAGCCCAGACAAGCACAACTATGCAACGACTTTGTCTAGAATTAAGAAATACTTATAAGTATATATAGATATATATATATATATATACTAAGACTTTTCGCTGACTGATCTCTCCCATAAAGATGTCCCAGAAATTCGCAGTCATCAGGCAATTACTGTTTATACACTATGTGCATTTATGCAGTTAGGTACGTGAAATGTATTTAATATATAGCTAAATATGAGCGCAAACTCGTATTTAAGGCACCATTAGTTGAGAGATTTACAATAAAAGCATTTAAGTATACGTTAATTTGTATGTAAATGGACTGGTTCGCGTTTATACATATATTGGCCAGGATGGCGGCCGTTGGCACCGTCTAAGCCATTTTGTTGGCCGCTTTGAATTTCCTAAATGTAAATAAACAAAGTCAATATTAATTATATTTCTATTCATATTAGTATGCTTTGCTGCGGTTCATACTTGAGCTGCTTCAGCGCCTGGCTGGTCTCATAGTCAGCCTTCAGCAGTCCGATGCGCACCCAGCGCGGTCGCTCGTGAATCACCTTGTGTATGAGAAACTTGAGGCCCAGCAGCAGATGCTCGAAGATGACAAAGGACAGATCCGGTATGGAGGGCAGCCAATGGGCAAAGAATTGTCTGACAAAGAGAACAGGCATATAAATATATAAAACGAGAGAGAGAGAGAGGGAGAGGGAGAGAGAGAGGGAGTCAGTTATATAAATTTACTTGACATTCGGCTGGAGAAAGAGCAGGCCACAGTTGCTCAGCAGCGACATCACAGAGAGCAGCTCGAAGGCCAGCTGCCAGGCGCCAATGTTCTTGGCACGACGCCCAAAGGGACGCTTGAAGATGTTGCACAGCTTGAACATGTCGATGTGGACGGCGAACACGTTGTTGATCAGCGCACCGATGGCGGCAAAGGGCGCCACGGCCGCAAAGAGCACCACGTAGCCGAACTGTATGCAGACCTGCAGATAGTCCTCGTACGTGGAATGGTATTCATCGAGGCCGGACTCGTAGAATGCTTGCTCGTAGCGCGGCTTGTTGCTGATGCTGCGCAGCTTCTCTGGCTCGATCTCCTTGTGGCGATACTTGGCATACTTCTGTCGCAGCACCGCCATCAGTGGTATGCCAATCTCCTGTGCTATGCACACCAATTGGAAGATGAGCAACTGCATCATCAGCTGGTACTTGAGCTGCTTGAGATCCTGCAGCACGAACGCAATATAAAACTGGGAGAAGAAGTTGTTCACAATCTCGAAGAGCATCAGCTTATTGACCCGATGCCGCTCGTACTGCGACCTGGTGCGATGATTCTCCAAATTGGTCAGGAATGTGGCAAGCTTTTCGTATGCCCACGAGAAAATCGCTATCAGCATGGACTGCACAATGACGGGTATATAGAGCAGCCAGGAATCCGCTCCGAAATCGGCCAGCACCTCGGCCTCTATTTGAAACTGATACAGAGCAAACCAGGCGGCAGCCACCACGCAGCCCAGCACCACCGGATACGAAATGCAATACATTTGCAGGTACGTATAGCGCATCGGATAGTGCAGGGTCATCTTGCCCGTTATCGGATCCGGCTTCAGTTGGCCCTGGTAGCCAGCGCGAGGCTTATCCAAGCTGCTCATCTCAATGGTGCCCCAGCGATAGGAGAGCCCAGCACATCGGCGCTTCCACAGTTCCAGAAATATCTAAAACGGGTAGATGAAAATGAGATTCAAACGGAAATCCAGAGTCCGTCGTCCACTCACCGTTGTCCAAACCACATAGAAGCTGCACACGAGCGAAAGATTGAGATTCATGAGGGATTGCAGTATGCCAAACACAGCCGGAAAGATCAGGGCCTTTGTATAGAACTCAATGAAGGCAAAGTACAGGCCAATGCTGGAGCCAAAGTAGTTGCGTATCTCCTCGATGGGCAAAGTTGTGCGTTTCAGGTTAAAATGGAAGCGATCCAAATAGAGCTGAAAGACAAAGTGGAAACTGGATGATAGTTGAGATACTTTCGAAGAGAAATAGGGGAAATCCTCATATTCCAATCGACCAGTACATACAATATCATGCAATGGAAACATGTCCTCGATGTAGCCCTTCTGTATATACGATCTTATAGCCGGCTCCACGACATCCTTAATCAGCACAGGTGTCTCGCAGTAATGCAATATTTGCTCCTGCGTCATGCCCGGCAGCAGGAAATCGGAGACACAGCCATAGTTGAACTTTTGCATGCTGCCCGTTGTTGTCATCTTCTCCAGCTCGGCGGCATCGGCCAGACGGAGCAGCGTATCCAAGCTGGCGGACAGATACAAATACTTTTCGGTTTTGCTAAAATATAATCAACAAGTCAATATTTAATGATGATGAATGCTAATCCCATGGGAGGCTCACCTGACAATTTCCAGTGTGGTTTGTATATCAAACTCTTGAATGATCTTCTCCACATCCTGGCAGTGGCGCAGCTTCGCCTTCTCCGTGAATATGATAACTATGTACGTCTGCAATAGAGATGAAATACCTGTACTCATAGCATATATGCACACATAATCGTTTTTATTATTATTACACGCAGACTAACCTTGCCAAATGTCTCCGCTTCTTCGTCGTCGTCGATGACGTCGATGGTCCCATGTTGCGAGCGTTGTCTCTGCAGCGCCTCGAGCTTTAAACTGCGCTGCCGGCGAAAGAGTTGATTCTCGATAATGTTTCGGGTGCGTGGACCTGGAATAATAAACAGATATGTATATGCACATATATACATACATATATACATCTAATATATCACATCAATATACTGCTTACTCTTCGCATCTTCGGACATTATTTATGATGAGTCGTCGCTGCAAATGCGAATAACAATGCCAGAATTTTGCCAAAGCGGCGAATAAAGTGTCTCACTCATGCACACAGCACGCACACACACACACATATACATGTATATTTTTCTGTATAATTATTAGGTTTGTCCCAATGCCAGCACGAAAAATGTTTTAATAACGCCAAAACATTTCAAAACGTGGCCAGTGCCAGAGATCGTGGCTATTTTAGCATTTCTCTGGTTATTGCCGGTTTCTCTTGTTCTATCGGCTCTATTGCGCTCCCACTCGCACTTGCGCACGCATATGCACACATAAACATAAGCGCGTGTGTGTTTAGTATCGCACTTACTCACGCTGTGACGTCACAATGCCAAGCCTAACAGCTGATTGGAGAACTGTTTATACGCAGCTTTAGTGTAGAGTATGTTGATCACACTGGGCCAAGCAAAAAAGTCTACAAGCATTAGGTTTATTAAAGGTTAATAATATAATATATTGTCATTTATTTGTATTAATGTTTAATAATTTGTAATTGTACATGTATAATAGATTTTTAAAAATTAGAAATTCTAGATAACATTTTCGGAGTGTGAAAGAGAAAAGGATATGCTTTTGTGCGTGATCTATGAAGTTTTGTTTGTTTGTTTTTTTTTTTTGTACAAATAGTATCCCTAATATTTAATATTATTAACAATTCGGCGTATTTATTTAATATTCAGCACTATGCAGCTAGCTTTAGCTCTGATTCTGTTTCTCCTCAAGATTTAACAAATATTGTGTATATAATTGAAACATAATTATCATAATATAAACTACACATAAAAACGGTTCAGACAATTTACAATTGAAACATACATATATGCAAAGACGAGAGGCATTGAACTACTTCCAAATCACAGTCACATTCGTATCCTTTTCAATATCCTTCTCGATGGTGAACGGTGAGAGGCCAGTCTTGCAGCAAATCTCATCGAAACTAATCAGACCCGTGTACATCTTTTGGCGACCCGATGGCACAGATCCGGTAAAAACCGGATATTTCTGTATGCAGCGTATAAACTTGTGCTGCAATCCAAAGATAACCATCTTACGTTCATCAATATTTTTATTCTGCGGATTGAGACGCTGGCATATGGCACGAAGCGTAACGCCGTGTGTCATGGACGCGTAGAACTGGAAGATTCTCTGAATGCTGGGCAGAATTTTATCGGGTTGGAGTGCCACGTATTTGCGACAGGCGTTGCTCAATGCTGTGCTCTGTATGAGGTTCTTCAGGTTCTGCGTCATATAAACATTGCTATACTTCAATATGGGCAACAATTGCACGACTCCGTAATAGACCAAATTCTGTATGCACGACTTGACCAAATCCGTTTCCACATCCGCCTCAGCAGCTATGCGAGCCACGTGATTAATGCCATTGATATACGGCAATATCTAAAAGCAGACTTGTGGAATAAATCTGAATCTTTTTAGATTTTTAGGTATATCACACTACCTGCTGAGTGGTTAGGTCCCAGTTTTCGAGTGGAGTATCTCGGAGATTGGCTAGCAGTAGGGGCACCATGTGATCCTTGACTGGCGGCGGATCTGGCTTATGCATCACAATCTTTAAATATATTGTATTATCTCCCTCAACGATAGTCGCTACTTTGCGCTCATTCAGATCCCGGAGGACCGTCTCAAAGATTTTTTGCAGGCGCAGTTTGTCGTCTTCGCGTGATAAAAAGCATGATTCCTCCTCCATCATAATCAAGTATTCAGATAGTTTCTTAACAACGGGCTCATATTGCACGGACCGGGCACGCGAATCGCAAACAAAGCATAGATTGAAGAGGAATGCATTACGTGCATATTTCTGCTGATCCTGTATGCCGACTGGGTAGCCAACGATTTTCACCTCCATCGCATTCACTGTCAGGATGCACCTCTGCAGATGCTGTTTGGGTATAATGTAAACGTTGATGGCATCGAATACCTCTTTGGAAATGTAATTCTCTGGCACCTTTTAGCAAGAAAATGATGTTCCATTTATTTATTTTATTTTTGTATTATTTGTTATTGTTATTGTTGGTGGCGTACCTGACAGCTGATTTTACAGCCAGCCGTTGCATGGAATTCGCTTAAGAAAATGCAGCGTATTTTGCCTTCGGTGCTGCCGGGGCTGACACCTTCATTTGCGTGGGAGTGCATTGCTATTGATTGCACCTGTCACGCTCATCGCATTTTACAGATTTTTGACAATCTAGCAAACCTATTTCCACACAATATGTTTCCATTCGCGATTGTAAGCTAACCAACCAGAGGCAATCCCACGTACATATATATGTCCATTTATATAAATATGTATGTATATGCGCAGATATTTTACTCTCCCTTGCTTTCGCTCTCTCTGCGCAGCACGTCACAAAATTCAGCATTTACACAGATTTGAAGTGAGTGTGACAAATATACATATGAATAAATGTCAACCATACTGGCATTGCTATGGATAACATAATAATGTTCATATCTCATGTCGACATTCTGTCTGCGATACAATTCGGTATTTCAAGTCAACCATTAAAATGTGACGGAGTTGATGATCGGTTCACTCCCATGAAAAAACGATTCACTGATCTCTCACAAATTCCGAAGTGAACCAGTTCCATGAGAGTGATCAATGAATTACTTGTATTTGACGACTAAATTGTACTAGTCGATTGTTTCATCGTGTACACTATACATTTGAACATTAAAAATAACTTCTTGAAGATATTTTCAAATTTATTTATCCAATGATCCCATTTTAACGGCAGGCAGCCGCCACAGTCTCCAATAAGAATCTTGATGAGAACAAAGATGCTGCCAATATTTTACGTTACAACAAAACAAAGATTCAGTTGGAACAATTAGGAAAATTTGAAGCATATTAAAAATTTGTTATATTATTAACAGAATATTTAAATTTATTATTGTATTTTTTCATTTTTATGAAAAAGTAAAGTGCTTCTAGCTATCCGGCAAGGCCATATTATAAATGACAAGTGCTGTAAACGCTAAATCCGATTGCCGGCATTTGTTCTTATCGGACAACGAACGATTGTTTCGATACTCGTGCCTTCGTCGTTTCTTTATAAAATTACCTCTGCAAGTAAATTTGCACAAATCAGCAGTAAATAAAATTGGGAAATGACGAATGAAACCACAAATGCCGCTGACCGTCTTAAGCTCGGTCCTCGTGAAAATGTTACGTATCCCATAGTAATGAAATATTGCGGACACTGCTCCATGCCAATAGAGGTAAGTGAACTTGAGCCCACTTTCGAAAAATGTATCTGTCCTTTATGGAAATGGTTCTGCAGTACTGCGAATACTATCCCGAATACGACAAATGCAAGGAATGGTTGGAGCGCAATCTGCCCGATGATTTCGAGCGCCTTAAAATTGAGGAAGAGCAGGCAGCTGCTGATGGTACAGACGATGACAAGAAGCGTCAAAAGCGGGGCGGCAAGGGTCTGCTGCGCGTCAAAAAGAAGGAAGATGTCCCAAAACGCATTTGTGTCTCCCGTGCTGCCCGCGGCAAAAAGAAGTCGGTGACAGTGGTTACCGGACTAAGTACATTTGGTAAGCAGTGTTACACGTGCAATTGTGCAGGACAGGACTATATAAAATGTCTCACCCGTTTGCAGATATCGATCTGAAAGTGGCTGCCAAGTTTTTTGGTACGAAATTCGCTTGCGGATCGTCAGTGACTGGAGAGGATGAAATTGTCATTCAGGGCGATGTTAAAGATGATTTGTTTGATGTTATTCCCGAGAAATGGTCTGAGATTGATGAGGATGTTATTGAGGATCTTGGCGATCAAAAGCGTTAATCGAAAATATAGCTGCCAGTAGCAATTGTCCTGCTTAAGTGTGCTTATTTTATACGCATATTACTTCAAATAAAAAATGATTTAATCTCTAGTAATATGTATGTATAGTTTTTTATGTCGGTGCTTGTTGGTTGGCTTGTACCGGTTCCGAAGTAGTATTGGCAAAGTGCTTATGCGTTAGCCCGATGATGGCCTCGTTCTCCTCGTCAGTGAGCGGGACTTTATTATCGTCAATAAGCTGCAGAACATGAAAGCGAATAATTTAATAATTTCAAGTTGATCACAAGAGCATCGATGTAATTACCAGCTGTGTATGCAGGGCACTGGTGGGAGGATCATTAACCATTTGCAGCTGCTCATGTGGCATCAACCTATAGGTGGCCAAGTCACATAGGTAGCCTTTTATGGATTCACGTGTTTGTGTTTTACAAGGCGATTCTTCCAGGTACTGTAGAGCCTCGTACGTGACCGTTGCGAGATTGTGCATGCCCCATTTCTTTTTGGTGCCCTTAATCTGTTGTAGTATTTGCATCACCTCAAAATTTGTGATGTACGAGTAAGTGGCATTCACCCTATTAAAATTTTAACGGATTAATATAATGAAATTAATCGTTTAATATCTTACTTACGTCTCCATACTGCTTAATTAAATTATATAGACATAAACAATTTGTAAACAAGCACGATAGCCACACGCGAGTTCCACCGATTGGAAGTGGAATCGACCATTGAGTAATCGATGAAAACATTTCCAAGCACGCACGAGTATCGGACAAAAACTGTGCAGAAATATTGGCGCGAATAACAAAACGTTTCGATTATTATTACTATAAAACTCACACAAGATTAGTAAACTACATAGTAAGTGAACTAACTTAGTGACAAATTTACTTGAAATCTAAGTAACTCACAAGTTTGTAGTCATATTCATGTAAATCCATTTGTTTTGTGTAGGTTTGGTCATCGATTTTTCGATACATTTTTTTTTATATTACAACAAATTTAATTCTTCGGCCTTTAAACAATTTTATTCAAATTCAATACTAGAAATATGGGTGTCGCGGAAACAGATAAAAAAGCAAACAAAGACGTACATGAAGTTAAAGTCCCAAGGCCCAGATATCACTCGCTTTTAAAGCGTCGCACAACCCAAGTGAGCACGACTTATCCACACTTCAATTTGTGCAGCAACTTGCATCGTCGCCGCATGCGTCGCCTATTTTTGGCCGAAAAGAGTAACTCCTTAGATCGTCGCAAAGATTTTAAACAGAAGTTATGGTCATATTTCATCTACTCGCTAATGCCGTTGCTCGTGGTCATAGTCTTCAGCAGCCTAATGACATATTCTCAAAATACAGAGGTCTTCACGAAGGTCATGCAGCGTTACACTACACAATACCAGGCCACCGTGCACAACAAGCTGAACTACTGTGACCGCACGATGCCATTGCACGACATGTTTGAGCACATTCAAGGAGCAGTAATCAATCAGGAGTTAGCGTTGAAGCAACTCGAACAGGCTCTGGCCAACTATAGTTTCCAATCCATTGCGCTAGTCGGCACCTCGGGTGTAGGCAAGACCCTGACAATACGCAAACTATTGGAGAAATATCCGTGGCCAGAGAATGTTCAGACCATTGCATGGAACGACTATAAGCTGATTGACAACGACGCACGCTACAAGGCCGTGTGGAAAACTTTGGGCAATCTGGCGCATTGCGGTCGAAACTTAATCATTATTGACAACATGGCCATGTGTGATTTAGAGTACATGACATCAATAAATAGCATGGCACAGTCGAACTCCGATTTGGCCAGCAGCGCCAACGACTTTGACAAAAAGCATCTGACCATCATCTATGTATTCAATGTGAATAGCATGCTACCCGAGGAGCTCTACCGCGAGCAGTTGAAGATGCTGAAGCAGGTGGAGACCACAGCAATGATAGTCTATCGCATGTTTGGGACAAACGATCTGGAGGCCTGTGTGCGTCACGAGTCACGACTTTTGCATCTCAAATTGGATGAGCGTCATATCGAAGACATGGTCAATACAATCGATGTCAAAATATCTGGCTGCAAGACTGTACGTTCCAAGGTTCTAGTCCTGGGACATCCTCTAATGACGGAAGAGGAAATGCACAACAAGTTGAAATTCATTCCGGCTGAAGGCCCATAGCTTTCCCAATTATCAATTTTATATAAATTAGCTTAAGTATTTGCTTTCGGCATTTAGTTTGCTCAACCAAACAAAATTATAATATAGGGGTTAGAGATTAGGGACGAGATATAAGGTATCAAAATCCGCTAAAATTCAACTGTTACGTAGAATCTACATTTACTCTCGTGATTGCACTAAAGACTATATATTATACATATTTCGATTATAGGTTTTAGATTATATTATTTAGGGCATTTTAATTATGGCTAACATGAAGCTCATTAGAGTTTCACGATCGATGGACAACTGAGACTGAGAAGCCTTCTATGCATAAGTTCCTAATGTAATTCAACATCTCTGATTGTGATCGTACTTTAACTCTGGTGATAAATAAAAAAAATAAATAAATAAAACAACAAAAGTGTATTTATATTTGAGTATTTGGGGAAATCTTAATATTTTTGGCCGGTATTAAAAATGTAATAAAAATAAAAATACACACAAAATATATCAATTATTTTGAAACTAATTGTCGGTAAGGTTCTTTATCGATAACATTAAAACAACGTTATCGAATTCGAATCTAAGCCGCACTGGTGTATAGAGCTTACACTAAAATTTCGAATCAAGTAGGCATACAGTATTTTGTCAAATCACAGTATGTTACTTTTTTGTTAGAATCCCTTCTTCTCTTGACTTCAAAATTATATTTCGTATATGTTTCGACAGATCTATCTAAATCTAACCATTTTTTCAATCGGTCTTATCAGTAAGCAAAAGAAATTCGCTTGAATTCGTGTGAAAAAGTGACGAAAATCTGCAATCCAAAGGATAGAACGGTACACCCACACATCCAGAAATATTTTATATACGAATTTTATATTGTTTCTGACCAACAACATATATTCAGCTAGTATAACAAAAATCAGTATTTACTTAGCTCCTTGAAGATGGCCCAATATGACGAAATTGGAAATGTAAACATCTGGTGGTTCCCCCAGGACTTTTGCCAATCCCGCTTTGGTGACTACCGTAAGAGCGGCACCAATTCTTGCACCCTGATCTCTTTAATACTTGCCGATAAGGTGTCCAAGATGCCAAGCCTCAGCCAGAACGTGAAGGAGCTACCAGAAAAGGCCTGGGATCTCATTGGCGAATCGATAAATGAGGGAAACATTGTCTATCATGATCTAATTTCGCCTAATCTCAATATTAATATACCGGATGCTATTGCAGCTATACGCTCTCATCAAAAGATCAACTTCCGCCTCGAGGAATGGTTCTTCACCCAGGTGGGCTCCGATCCGCTTAGCCCAATGATTGTCGGTGTTGAGTTGTCACGCATTTTCACCACTACTCTGGATGCCTTCAAGAACGTTGACGGCAGGGATATGCCGTCCCATCTATTTGCTGCCATCGTCGCTGATCGCCGCACCGTCATAGTGAGCATCGACCTGCGTACCTCAATCGCATTCATTGTCGATTCGCATCACCATGGCAATAATGCTGGCGCCCTCTTTGCCCAGAGCGACATACACTATATAAGCGATTTAATGTTCTGGTTCATCAGCATGCTGGATCATATCTTTTCCAGTCATCCGGTTATCTTTGAAATATCCTTTCTATGTGCTCTACCAAATGTAGCACTTCTAATTCCTCCAGCTGTTAAGAAACACGCCAATAATATTTACAAATACAAGAAGAAATCATCGAAGACAGCGTAGCTCTTCCTTGAGTCATATTGTTAATTTCACTGTAAACTAATTTCCTATCGAATATGAAGACCAACCCATATATGTATATGAAACCCCATTTAATCCAGTAATTTAATCCACTATTTTTGTGTTGAAGTTGCGTTTCTAAGTTCATTTTTCTGTTAATTAGCACAAATTTTAAATCGGCAATAATATCTCCATATAATTTAATAAAAGTTTTACAGTTGCTTTGTGTTAAGGTCAGAATGATTGAAAAGCCTATTCTTTAATAAGTGCATAAGAAATAAATATATTCAGATTCTAGAAATTCTGTTCTATCTCTAGCGACAATTTCTATATACACTACTGTATATGTGAAAGAGTCCAATAACAAATTAATATTTCTAAAACTTAAATATTATCGTCAAAGTTAGTTTAAATTATTGGAAATCTAAAATAATTGATTATTACCAAGGTATTCTTATGAAAAGAGATTTGATTATGTCTGTTTATATTTTGGTATTTCATTTATTTATTTATTTATTTATTATTATTTTTTTTTTTTTTTTGAAAAAAAAGTTGCGATTTTTTATTTATTATTGTATAAGGTAGTTGTAGGTAGCATATAAATTTATATAACATACGATATACATACGATATATATATATATATGTAAAAAAGACATAGCTAGCTTAAATACTTTTACTTGCACATTCGTTTTCGCCTTCACTTCTCGCTTTGTTTTCTTCTTTTCTGTTTTAATATTCTCATCAATCTAATCTCACTTGAACGATACGCTAGAGTGTTTGTTTATGCGTTTATGAGTGTGTGTGTGGGTGTGTGTGTAAGTGTATATGTGTGTGTTTGTGTGCATGCTTCCATTTAGAACCCACCAACACCGCCCTGCTTCCGTCCATCGGCATTTGCATAGATCGCTGTCGCATTGCGGCCGATGGCACAGACCACAGAAGAGGCTTTCTGCGACAATGGCTGAAGAACGTGCCCCCGCTTTCGCAGCAGACTGAGCACATTCTCTGAGAACTTTCCGTCTTCGTACTGGAGAACATTGGGGAATAGCTGATTGTAAAACCGTGGCGCATCTTCGGCCATTTTTAGGTCTTCGCCGAACCAGAGAAAGCGGGCGGCCACCTCGACTATGCCTCCCACTATCTTGGTGCCACCGGCAGCTCCAATTGCTAGACGGATATTGCCATCTCGATCCGCGAGCAGCATTGGGGACTGCGATGACATGGGGCGCTTGTGTAAATCTATTGTGTTTGCTTGCGACTGTGGCAGATTGAACATATTCTCTTTGACGGAAAAGTCGTTCATGCAATCGTTTAAGATAATGCCAGTGCGGGGGCCAATCAAACTTGAACCAAAGCTGCAACATATAAAAAAGAGATTCAATATTAACCACAAAAAAGGAATACACGAGGAACTCAGAGTATCACAACTAGCAGAGGCTTAACCTAGGAATGGAAGGGAAAGCGCGCCATAGTTTTGAACTATTCAATTTGTCAACAACTTTCAATGCCACTCTGTATAATCGCTCAAAGCTACACCGCACTATCGATACCATTTCATGACGATAGGCATTGGCAGTTGTCGATCGCTATTGCGAATGGCAATGTAATGAACGTTAGATGGCGCTATATATGCAAGTGTAGATCATATAAAGAGCATCTACTGTTAATGCTCATACTTACTAGTTATTGATGGAGCTGGTCACTGACACGGCATCGCCGTTCGGCGCTAGCACAGCAAAGGATGAAGTGCCATACGGATCTTCTTCGGAGCTGAGCAGTGCACCGTAATCTTGCGGGCTACCTAACACTTGGTTGTCATTGATCTTGGCGCGCTGCTGGGCAGCATATTGGGGATTGGTGAGCTGGCTGACCAGTTCGCGAATGTCATTGAAACGCGGATCGCCCAGCTCTGGACGATGTGCGAATCCGAACTTCAACGCCTCCGTAATCCGATGTATGGTCAGGGCATATGCCTCATCGTCCGCCAAATCAGCCCGTGTGAAATTAAAGCCTTCGAGAATGCCCAGTATGTGAGCGACGACAGATCCACTGCTCACCGGCGGCACGGCATACAGAGTGTCGTTGCCCAGTGGCATGGTGACGGACAGACGCAAATCTGCCGTGTACGTATCCAAATCGTCTTGTGTTATAATGCTGCCTAACTCCTTCAGATCCTCGGCGAGCATTTTTGCCACGGTGCCGTTGTAAAAGTCCATTGGGCCATTTTCAGCTAGTAGTTTGTACGTGTTGCACAGTTTTGCCGGTGGCTTCAGCATTGCTCCCTCCTGGTGGTGTTCGCCCGTTTCCTCATTCAGAAACACGGATCTACGATGAAGTTTGCGTGATTATCTATCTCATTGGATCTAGCCACATGTACTTACTGATATTGCAAATTATCCTTGATATAGGACCACATCATCTTCACCTTTGACGCCTGATGGTTGCTCATTCGATATCCAGTCTCGCAAATTTTCAGGGAAGGCTCCACTAGAGTCCGCCATGGCAACTTGCCAAAACGTTTGTGCGCCAAATGATAGCCCATCACCTCGCCAGGCACTGCAATGCTCAGCGGTCCTATAATGGAGGCATTGGCATCCTTATCGAACATCTTCTGATGGGCAGCATAGGGCGCCACGGCTTGCGCATCGATCTGATAGCCTTGTTGAGACTCTCGATGATAGATATTCATTATTAGGCCACCGCCAATGCCCATGCTTTGTGAGGTCAGTAGTCCATTGCAGAGCATTGTGGCAATGGTTGCATCCACAGCGCTGCCATTCCTCTCCAATATGTTGCTGATGATAATGAGACAATATTAATTAATTGATTTATGATTGAATTATGATAATGTCAAAGCTAATGACAATGACAATGTGCAATGACAATGACAATGACAATGACAATGACAATGACAATGACAATGACAATGA